AAGGTGTCTGAAATAAGGTCCTTGCAGAATATATATATCGACAGCCTAGCTAAGATATCCGTTGCTCCTATTAGGGTTAGGGTTAGGGTTAGGGTTAGGGAGGTCTTTAAGTATTCGTTCTCTCCGAGTAATTATAGGGAGGGTTGCTTTAACTATTCGGTTGATACGAAGACTCGGGTTAGCTATAGTAGTATAGCTATAGAGCAATTCCTAGATTATTCGGATATACCGAATACTAAGAAGGAGGATATTAACTACTTAGTAGAGGTAGAAATTGTTGACTACTCGGTAGAGGCGGGTATTATTAGCTCGGTAGAGGTAGGAATTGTTAGCTCGGTAGAGGCGGGTATTATTAGCTCGGTAGAGGCGGGTATTATTAGCTCGGTAGAGGCGGGTATTATTAGCTCGGTAGAGGCGGGTATTATTAGCTCGGTAGAGGCGGATGTTATTAGCTCGGTAGAGGCGGATATTATTAGCTCGGTAGAGGCGGGTATTGTTAGCTCGGTAGAGGCGGATATTATTAAGTACTCGGTAGAGGCGGGAATTGTTAAGTACTTAGTAGGGACGAGAGTTAAGTAGACTAGGGTTAGGGCTAGGGTTATAAAGAAGAGAATATCGTCTGTATAAGATACTGTAGAATCGGAGGATTCGTAGGAGTAATTATCGTTTGAAACGAATATCCCTTATTCTCCTTAGTAGTTGACTCCTTTGCTTTTCCTTTACCCTTTACCCTCTTTCTTAGTTTTCTCGCCTATAACGTAGAGTGGTTTTTGTCTACAAGCTCTGCTAATAATAGGTCTCGGCGGTTACTCGAAATTAGCTTTTCTCGTCGAGATCGAACAAGTTAGTATAATTATTTGCGTTTTTGCCTTTATTCTTAGCGGGAAGGAAGTAGCTCGATTTCTCTAATATCCTCGTTTTCAACGAGAACCCGATGGTCGTATTTCTAGCGTTCTCTAACGGTTATAAGAGAAACCGTCTTATTCTCTGCTATATAGGCTCGAATATAGTATAAGCAAGGAAGTTCCGTTATAAACGAGAAGATACCTATATAAGGTAGGACAGATCGTGTTTTATCCGTTGCTAACGTATACTAGGCTAGAACCTCCTAGATTACGTAACGGTATACTTTTCGGTAGAAGGACTGAAAAGTACGAGGTATTTAGATCAAAGTATAGCTCGTTTCTTCCGAAAGCTCTTACTAATACTTAGATACCTATATTCGAAAATATAGTAGAAGCCGTTCGACGAGACCGTAAGTATTAAACTGTAACGTCCTAAGCTAACTTTTTATTATAGTATATATACCTTCGATCCGGGAGGTTGCTCGGACACCCTATATACGTATTCGTTTCAAACAAAAAGTCGCCTATAGTAAGGTAAATAGAAGCTATTCTTTCTCGAGGTATACAAAGCCCTTAGGCTATATCGCCTTTAACTTAAGGCAAATCGTACGGAATTCTGCCTCCTCCGGAGTATAGACTACTTTTTAGAATAAGTTATACTATTTTACCGTCTTTTCGTTATTAACATATTCCCTACTCTCTTCCTCGGGCTCTTGCTTAAATGTTAAACGGGTATATACAAGGATATCCTTAAGAAGATACTACTTACAAATACGTCGGGGTACCTCGGGAAAGACTACCTCTATAGTATTTAAGCATACTCGATCCCTATTAGTAACTAAAAGGTTTAGTATTAGGATCTCTTCCTAAACGAGAATATCTTTGATTTGCTCAAATACCTAGGTATATAACTTCTCGTCCTACCTAGCTAGAAGACAAAGGCTAAAGGGTATAGTCTTATTCCCTCCGGTAATACCGTAGAAGTCGAAGACTGGTCGTCGTAAACGATGAATCTTATAGGTATTGTCGTAAAGGATAATCTCTAGGCAACGGGCCTAGATCTCTAGGTATTCGGGGTAAACGAAAAGTAGTTGCTTAAGGAAACTATTCGAGTTTACCGAGTATCGGAAGGCGAATCCTTCTAATTAGAGTAGCTCGAGTGTAGCATTAGCAATTGTCTTTCTAGAGAGTAGAAGATAACAATAGCGTTAACGGATATTGCTAATATCTTTTCGTTTTTAATGAATTTCCGGAAATTGGTCGCGGAGAAGAGATTGTAAGGCAGCTACCCGAAGTCTAGAGCGTATATGTCGTATAATCTCGTTTACAACGTCGTCGCTACGCTCGTATCGCCGGTAGTTCGCAGGCAATCTAATAGTTCTAGGGATTGTTCTAAAGGGTAGATAATTATATATTATTATATTCGAATTTCGTCTATACCGAATTGTCTATACTCTATCTTTGTCTTCTTTATCTACGGCTATATACCAAAGTTGTATAGGACATTAGTGTTTATACTAGCTGGATTTTCGTCGACGAGAAGAAGTATCTAGTTTTCGATAGTTCCGAGTTTTTCTACCGTATATACATCGTACTCTTTTCTAGGTACCTCGATTCTTTGTATTAGAGATAACAAGGTCAAAACTATATTTACGAGTCCACTTTTTAACGAACTCCTTTAGCAATTTGATAGAATCAAAGGTTTGCTTAGGTAGAGGAGGTATCTTAAATTCCTCGTTAGAACCGAGATCCTCCTCCTCCTCCTCCTCCTCCTCCTCCTCCTCCTCCTCCTACTCTTCCTTCTCTCCGTTAGAGTTCTCGGGCTTACCGAGAAACTCCTCCTCCTCCTCCTA